AACTTACAACTCTTATATTCCGCCTAAAAAACCTTATAATACGACTAGAACGAGTGCCAAATTTCCTAAATTTTGCAATCCGAAGTTCGCAAAAAAATTAAAAATTTGCAAAAATTGCTGGTCTTAAAATAAGCACTTTAAACAGTCGAATTTTTTTTCATCTAAAGAAAAGCTCAATCTTTTAATTTTTAAAACTATTAACAATTTTTTGGCTTATAAATAAATAAAATAGTTTGTCGAATTTGACAGATATCAATTAAAAAATTTTTACACTTATAGACTTTTGAAAGACGACAACTATTTCCAATATAACATTTTTAAACCTATTGTAGTTGCTAAACGAGAAATTTGCAATAAATATTTTTTTTCTGAACTTGAAAATTACATCATGAAGTGAATTTTTTCTAAACCGATTGTAAGGAAATTTAGCACACGTTTCAGTCGTATTATAAAGTTTTTCTATACTTAACATTAAATTTTTAATTTGTAGCTAGTCAAATATTATGTAGAATTGAAAAGCGAAACTTCTACCTTGTATAATTTTTCTCGTAGAAGCAATATATAAAGTTATAGGCGAAAATATGAGAGCAAAAAGCAAAAATTTTCGAATTTTTTCAGATTTTGTTAAATAAAAATTAAGCACAAGGTTTACGATTGCGTATATCGTGATTATTGATACGACATCTTGATATATCTAAGGGAGAGTTACTTCAAATGTAACCAATGAAAACGAATGATTCAGCGCACACCAAAATGACAGTGACGTCATTCATTCTAATCATTCGTTTGCATTGGTTACATTTGAAGTAACATGCTAGACGCGTGCTACTTGCTACTTGCCACTTGCCACGCCAGTTTGGTGGGCGCTCCCACGTAGAAAAAAATAAATTCCATGCAAAATGTCCATTATGATCTGCTTTTATACAGATCCCGTCTGGACTATATAGACAAAATACAGCTCCACATTTAAAAATCTTTTCCTTTTTTGTAAAGGCGCTACAGGTATAAAAACTTTTACTTATTAAAGTTAACATAACAGGTAAAAATAAACTCATATGAGGTGATCATTCTTCTACAAAAAGTTCAAATGAGAAAGAGATCAAATGCAGAGTTGAAACAGCTCGCACAACCTTTCTAAAAATAAAATCACAGCTTAAATCTAAAATTACGTCAAAAATGAACAAATATTTAGTCAGTATTGTTACATGGCACCTAAACCTGAAAGCTGATACGATCAATCGTCTAGAGGCATTTTAGATGTTGTCGCATAGAATAATGCTCCGAATACCCTGGAGAGCGATGGAAATAGGAATATACAGTTACAAGCATATGCCGATTGACTGAAGACCGTGAACAACTCGCCAATTAGGTCTAAGAAAAGAGCAAAAAAGTACCCTTTTTGTGACACTGAACCGGCCAGCAAACGACAGTTGTATTGAGTAGTATGGACCTCTGTAACAAAAACCTATATGTTTCCTCTAGTCGATTTTTGGACTTAATTAGTTATTAAGAAATTAATATCAAAAACGGTAAATTTACGCTTTTTCGTCTATCAGCAAAAAGTGAACACATAATAAAAACATAAATAAACGTGGGAAAAGTTGTAAATGAATAAATTGAAAAGAAAAATATTGTAAAATTGTGTAAAATATTTAATTCCTAGCTGAGCGCTTTCGTATTAGTCCTTCAACAAAGGGGTCTTCAGAACTATGATCAAAATTTAAAAAATATAATTACGAAATGGGGGTCCCATTGGTGAAAAAATATAACATTTTTCAACAAAAATGAGAGACACACTCATTCTGTCTGTCGACTCAACCCTATTCGATGGTTATGTGCTTGCACCCGTACAATACACTAAACTTTTATGTATTATTTGTGGAGCCTTTTAATAAGCAGTATTTTTGATATTTTTAAGAAAATTTCGATGTTTTTTAACTTTTGAAGAACTTTTTACTTTTTAAAAATAGACTCTCATTTTAAAACCATCATTTACATTTTAGTTAAATAGGCTATGTATTAGTCGTAAGTAATTTGTCGTAGAGTAATCAAAACGAGACTGTATGTTTTTAGATGTAACATTCCATTAGGCAAAAGAAAATTTAATAAAACACAAAGGTCACTTAAAATGTAATCTAGATGACCGTGTGACTATATGTACCTAGGTATAAAATAAAAATCTTATGTGATTTTTGCTTAAAAATAGTTTTTGTGTACTTACATTCATACTTATTATCATTTTTAAATTCGTACTTATTATCATTTATTCATATTTATTATCGTTATTATTATTTATATTAATATGTTTAATAAAATAGTACACACCTTGCAAGAAAATCCATTCTTTATTAAATCAAGTTAATGATCGTTTTTTTATCAGTATTTAACATATACTACAACCATATTGTTTCAAGCCTTCTCACAATGAGTTTTTTACATAACATATGTCACTCAGTTGTCTCTGACATGCCTAAAGCAGTAAATTATATCTCATTTACTTTTAGTTGTTGATAATTTACAACTAACTAAATAGACTGACCACCATATTCGCCATTGACCAACATATTCGCCGTTCGAAAGTTTTAGAAAGGAATTCCGTACAACAGTTATTCCGAAACGTAATAGACAAAACTCAAGAATACATCCTAGACATATCTCCCGCATTTCGGGACAGCTACAATGCAGTCGATTTCCGGAAATCTTAGCAAAAACCAAACCTTAAGAAAAGTGTAAGATAGGACTCTCCCGAAGAGAGATTTACAGAGGAAATGCTATAACTCCCAAACTTGAAGATTTGCTTTGGCACATATATTTAAAAACTACAATGACGCTTTCTGACGGTTCGGTTTCCAATGCTGAAATCGTTTACAGAGTTTGTGTGAGTTAAGTCTGGGAAAATTTTGGCGACGGTGGAAAAACCCAAATTCTTTAATGTACCGCAAGGTAAAACAATTTCATTTGTCTCGACAAAACGTTTAAACACCAATTGTCAAATGCCATACGTTAACTGTCATACGTCATCCATCAAAATATTTCCGGTTTGGAAATCGACACGTCAAAATCTAGCATCTTTGGGGGCATTTATATATTTTCCCGTATAACCAGAACGTCAATAAAATGTATTACTACCATCTCTTCAACCATTGTTTCCGATTAAGTCCGAAGAACAGTAAACAAGCCGTGTTTTTCTCATCAAACATTTCTATACATTCTAACTAATATGGATATGTTATCAATAGCGCCATCTATATATGCTAGCAGGATTTATAATGTAATGTAGTATAAAACAAGTTATTTTATCAAGTTTACTTGCAGTTACTTGATTGCCTTTATGGTAAGTATATGCGACGGATAGTTATGCGCAGGAACATGTAATATTAGTCCTATAATAGTCTTTGTTTATCCTATTTAAAAATCACATAAGATCTAGCATGCTTCTTTGTTTAATGGAATTATTTATAACCCCCAAAACTAAATCTAACAACGATAACAAACCGAAAAGTAATTTTTAAACAATGACGTCTAAAAAGCTAGGTTCTGTTCAGAGAAATTTTAGGTTTTTGATCTTTATATTTTGCTGTAAGGTGGAATCCTGGAAAATCATTTGAGTATCATCTTTCATTCATATCATTGAAGATTTGGGGTATCTAGCTTTTTATATTCATTACTTCATTTTGTTTCATTCGAACATTTAAAGAAATTAGATAAAAAGCGCACAGTAATGTCCGAAAGTTAGTTATACAAATATGTAATTAATTTATATAGGTATTCATTTGAGTTTTCTAATATTCAAAATAAAATCAGCCGTAAAATGTTGGAGACAGTGAATTTTCGTTTTTTTTTTGCACTGTTAAAAAAGTGCAGATGTCATTAAAGTGTTTTTATGTGCTTTGTATATGTCAAATCAACATTAAATCAAGGCTACTAAACGAAAAAAGCCAGTCCAATATAATGACGAAGACAATTAAAAATATAAACACTAACAACAAAACGAAAATTAAAGTTGAGAATGAACTAACATCGGAAGCAGATATCAACCCTGGAAACCGCCGGGAAGAGAGCTAGTCCACTTCTCTTCAATTTAGAGATGGAAAAAATTATAGAAGAATTTACAAGAATAGAATATTAATACAAATTATTACAAAAACATTACAAAAAAACTAAGGAAAAAATAATTAAAACGGAAGTTATTCAATTACAGTTTGATCAATGCACATGTCCCGAATGATGGTAAACCAGAAAAAAATAAAAGAACAGCTCTCCAAAGACTTATAACAAGCCTACAGAAAATATCCCAGAAATCACACTAATTTTGTGTTAGGTGACATAAATGTAAGAACAGGACAAGAGCGATGTTTCATCCCCATTATAGGAAGGCATAGCCTAAACAACGTCAGTAGCGATAATGGATTTCGACTGATAGCAGCTCTAAAGATGATAGTCGCTAGCACCCATTTTAAACACAAGAATATACACAATGTAACCTGGACCTCTTCTGAGGAAAAACATCGAGCAGATTGATCACTTCTTCACATAATAAACTGTAGTGGTTATAGAGGCAAAAACATAGACTCAGATCATTGCCTAGTGATATCAATAGTAAGGGCTAGAATTTCAAACGTCAGCAAAGAAAATAAAGTGGAAAGAAAGAAATGAAATGTGCAAAGCTGAGAGATGCAACAATTGAAGAACGGTACTCGGAAAACATAATTAACAACAATCAAGATGTAAATGAAGAAGGCCATAAAGATATAGACTCCTACTGGACAAGAATAAAGGAAGATAAAGAAGAAAACCTAAACAGAGAGAAGGAATTCAGAGTATTCTATAAGAAAGGTAATATCAACAGAAAAAAATTCAAAGCAACTACAAACCAATGCAAAAGACCAGATCGATGATCTATTAATAACAAGAAAAGATGTATTGAATCGATGGGTGGAATACTTCAACCGGTCACTTAATATAGAGGGAAAACAAGAAAATCTCTGAAGTCGAAAGAGATGAGGTAAGCCGAACAGATGAGAGGAAAAAAGAACTACCAATGATTCAAGTCAAAGACACAGTTAAAAAACTAGCCAACAACAAATCACCCTGAATAGATAATCTACCAGCTGAACCATCCCAATTCATCCTTTTAGGATCATAGAAACTCTTAAAAAAATTTAATGTAGAGTACGAATCCAGGGAGAACTGTCTGAAACTTTTAAAACAAATAAGGGGATGCGCCAGGGAGGGCGTGAGAGTACATGAAAATAAGCACGCAACCACAAATAGTACGGCCACTTGTTATAGAAAACAAGAAGCAGTGAACGAATTTGTATACTTAGCTGAAACCACTCGTTAACACTGAAAATAATACTATCGCAGAGATAATCCGCAGAATTTGCACCGACAACAGATTCTATTTTGGGATCAACTTCCTTCTTAAATCCTCAATTATATCGAGAAATATGAAGTTATTCAAATCTACAAAACAATAATCTGCTCAGTCCTAACATATGGTTAAGAGACCTGAACTCAAACAAAAAGTAATGAAAACATGTTAGTATGTTAGATAGAAAAGTACTAAGGCGGATCTATAGAGCAGTGAATGACAATGGAGTATGGAGAAGACGATATACCTTCGAACTTTATAAAATATACCAGGTATCGTATAATATATTAATATAGTATTCTGAGGTAGGTAGGACATGTAATGCGGATGGAAAAAAGGACGCAGCTAGAAAAACGTTCCTTAAAAGAACCATTGGTCAGTAAAAAGAGGAATACCCAGAAGAAGGTGATTGATAGGAAAGACTGAAGAGAAATTTTTGACGAAGCTAGGACCCACACAGGGAAAAGTCACAATGATTTTGATGATGATGAGGAGAAAACAAATAAAAAAATCCTTTGTTAGGGATATAAAATTGATGGAGCTACTAAAAAATATATGTAATCGATGACAAAAATCTTCGTATCATTACAAAGATGTACTTGAATGAAGTGAATATTGGAATATTTTACCAATGAAATGTCGTTAAAATGGGTAATCAGATTGTTATTATAACATATTCACAAATCGTTTACTAAATGTCGAAAAGGCCAGAAAACTTTCATGTAGAATATAAGGATTTTACCTATTTATATACTATCTTTAAGGACACTGTAGCGATCATTTTACGATTTGAAACAAAGAGAAAATTATGATATTCCGTAAGCTATGTATGCTTTAAGCGTAACATAATTTTCGAATTTTGTAAAAAATTGTTTGAAAAAGTAGTGTACATTTTGTTAATAGCGTGTGTAACCTTATTTTATTGCATTTTATGTTTGAGGGTATAACTGATTTAATTCTTGAATTTCTTTCTATTTCTTTTACGTACACATATAAAAATACGTATTAATTATATGACCATTCTCCATTTCTTTATTATTCAATGTTAATCTTTTATTATTCGAAACAATACTGAAAGTCAGCTCCGTCGTCTAATAAGTATGTTTAAGAGATTGAAGATGTTTTTAGAAATATATTAAAAGGGAATGGAAATAATATGCATCCCTGTCTTTGGGTGTTCTTTCTAGTGTCTGGTGTTGGACGCAGTCAAAAGCTCTGCGATAGTCTCTAAAGTAGGCGTAAATTTCCACGCTCATGTCCTAGGTAAAGGCTATTAAACATTTATGTTAAACCATCATCATGTGTACTCATTGAAGAAAACAACTTAAATATTTGACCAATATTTCGCTCAGTTTCATAATTTTCTGGTAGCAGTCGGTACAATGCCTATTTACATTTAATGGAGAAAATACCCTCAAAAATATAATTAGTTATAGTAGAATAAGGTTATGTTTCTCCCGATTTATAAAAATTCATTACACATATCCATCGCCATCTCCCACTTCGCACCCCCACACTTCTCACCAACCTCCATTCCTCAACTACATTATCAACAAAATACTAACCCATACTTTCTAGTTATGGATGGCAGCTGACCCAAAACCAAGTATGGACCAAATGCGACTCCATCTGCGAAGGAAAGCAGTACAGGATACCAATATGTATCGATCTCACGACTCAAGCTGAAGTTCCTAAAACTTTTTGTGACAATATGGACGACAGTCAAATACAAACGAAGGAATGCAACACTCATTGCCAGCTGAGTTGGAATATTGCTTCCAAGAGTGCTTGTTCGCCTCAGTGTGGAAAGGGGTAAGTTTTAGCCATTAACTCATGCATTTTTTTCTAAATTAGTAAATTGTTAAGTTCGTTTTGTCGTTCGATAAGTTGAACACGACTTTATAGTTAAAATTAAATGATTTAATATAATTTCCTAAAATTTCAGTGGGCTTATCCCAGTAATTTGTAATTTTCTTTAATTAATTCCATTTCTGATAAGTTAAAATTCAGAAAACTAATAAAATATGTTTCCACGACTGCGTTTACCTCTTCGTTGATGAAAATTGTTACCATAAACACGAATTTTATGAGGTGGCATTACAAACATAAGTCAATGGGAACTAAGTCTGGCGAGTAGGGTGGATTGTGTAAAAACTCGTATTTTAATTCATCGTTATTGAGCTGTGGGTTGATCTAAAAAAAATGTTACAATAATAATAAATGTCCTTTTAGACTATATGTCAAAAACGTAAGAATCATACAAGAATTATTTTGGAACTAAAGATATTGGATGCTCTACCCACGTTTATTCAATATTTATGTAAAAAATATAAAGGGCGAGTTATTAGTGCGACAATGCCATTATGGTAAAGAATGCCCAAAAAAGATATTAAGAAAAAATCAGTAGGCAATGATATTCTTCAGGCTTGGAAAATATGCCGAATTCTACAGTGATTAATAACTCCGTGATAAAGCACATACAATTTTTTAAATAGGCCAAACTTATTTTATATTTAGATTCCTCTTAAAATCCAGGTTATTACAATATGGAATTTCACACTACAGTCTAGGTAATTTACCGAATTTTCCCTATTGCAATATCTCGAACATGTAATGACAGGCGAAAGATTCAATATCTTGAGAATCATAATTCAAGGAAAAATAGAGGGTAGGAGAAGCGTAGGAAGAAGACGCGTTTCCTGGTTGAAGAACCTCAGAGAGTGGTTTAATTGCAGCTCAAGGCAATTGTTCAGAGCAGCTGCCTCGAAGGTCAGAATAGCCAGTTCGGAGTACACATCCAAAAGACAGTAGAGAAGGCAAACCGAAATTTGGAAGCGTTAATACGGTTGATGCCAAACATTGGAGGCCCAGGAAGCACCAAAAGAAAGGTGCTAAATGGAGTTTTCCAGTCGGTAGTAACTTACGTTGCCCCTGTATGGTGTAATGTACTAAACACTGCAAAATACGCTAAGCTGATGGAGACTTCGCAAAGGCGAATGCTCCTCAGGGTGTCTAGTGCATATAGGACAGTCTCGAATGAGGCTCTATATGTCATTGGAACGGTGATACCGATCGTTTTGTTGTGTAAAGAGCGGACGAGGATGTATGCGAGGAAGATGGATGTAAATATACATGCAAATGAAAGAGAAAGAACGATAATAGAGTGGCAGAGAGAATGGGCGAATGATAGTGGAAAGGCAAGGTGGACGAAGGAGCTTATTCCTGATTTGAGACCGTGGTTGGAATGTAAGTTTAGGAAACTAGACTACTTCCTGACGGAGTTTCTGACCGGGCATGGTAGTTTTGGCACCTTCACAAAATAGAATCGGCAAATCTGCCTCGGCAGACTGTACTGTTTGTGCGGTACCGGATGCTCCCGCCCACATTTTTGGGCGAGGGAGATTTCGAGAGACGAATGGGTTTCGGGCTGGATTAAAGAAATATTATAAACATAATGTTGAGAGGAGAGAAAGAATGGAGAGATGTACACTGTCTGATTTCTGGGGTGATGAAGAAAAAGGAACAGGAGGACAAAGGAAGAAATTAAGTCAGGGATCTAAAAATTTATAGTTAATATTGTTTGTTAGTTTATGAAACGTCTAAACATTTTCTGATTTACGATTATTTTAGTTGTTTATTGAGTGGCAAGACAAACTCTCTAGAACGTGGTTAAGGTTTTAGCCGGAACACGGTTAATTCGGCACTACCCTGGCGTCTTCTGGCTTAGTATCCCACTCGGCTGAAAGATACCAGGGTGTCTTGTTCCGTGACGTAAAGGTCCAAAAAAGATTTCCCCCACCGTTGCCTGCACTCAGAAACCAATGGATACCTTCTTAGGCTCTTACTAGAATCTGGCAATACGGCAATTAAAATGTATATATATATATATATATATATATATATATATATATATATATATATATGCAATTACTGTAACAATTAATATGATATTAAGGAAATAAGTCTAAAGTAAATGTTCAAAATGTCCACCTCCAACGTCTATGCAAGTTTATGATCGATATTTAAATGAGCTAGTCACATTCCTTAATATTTGACAATATTAGTAAAAGCTTCTCTGATTCTCTTTTTTGTATCATCTGGTGTTGTTGGATGCTTCTGGTATATCTGGTATACAAGGTTTTTTTTTTATATAGCCCCATATGAACAAATCAATTCTTAAAAATTCCGGTGATGGCAGTGGCCATACAGTTGGTGCTCCTCTGCCTATCCGCCCCACAGAAACATTATTATTTAGATAATTGTAGATAGGAGAAGCCGTTACCAGGTATAGTAACGGGTTCATCATCCATAGTAAAATCCAGATATAGTACCATTATTCACATGGCCGTCAAAAAAAAGAGCGCCAATCAACCAGGATGATCTCCGAGACACTGCATAGCGTATCGCATTAAAAAAGAAGAAGTTCCTTGTTTACGCTTTAATAGCTACAAAAAAAAAACAAGGAAAATCATAAATATGAAGAAAAAACTAACTAAAGTCTACCCCATGTGGAAACATTTAGCTGGAAAATTTCACATATTGGTGAAACAATAAATAAAATGCTTTTTATCCTCTCTAAAACGCTAAAAATATTACTGAGAAAGAGGCTTTCGAATGTGTTTGTACTTTTCGGACGCCCTCTACATGAAGATGAAGAATACTGATACACCTTTAATAACCCTTCAACGATTAGTTGCGTCACGCCTTCTAGAAGTAAAAAGTTTAACTTTTTCGTAATTCCAATACATTTCTTTGTTTCTTCCGGCATATAACTTCTCTCCAAATAGATATTCAGGTATTGTCTTAACATCTTTATTTTTTTGTGTATTAAGTCTTTTTATGCGTTTCATTCTTCCGTGAAATCTTATTTCGCTAGCTTGGATTCTAAAACAGTGTAGGTGTGGCTATTATATTAAGTTTTTTTCAGTATATTGTCTTTGGTCTTATTCTTCCATGTTCTGAGAATTGTTTCGCTTATCTGCTGTCAATGTCTCTATTTTTCTTGAAACTAGTCAATTACTACATGGTCAAGCAATATATTATAATTGAAAAAAAAAACTACCTGATATTAAAATTTGTCCATTGTAACAAAACACTATGACCTGTCAACTTTAAATAACTGGTAACTAATATTTTTTGTATTATTTTTGATGAAATTGTTTAACCTGTCGATTTTCCCTACTAAAAATAACTAACAAACATCTGATAGATTTTATTAAATAAGTTTTTTTAAACATTCGACTTGGAGTATCCACTTTGATTTTACATCCTGTTAAGCAAACATAGGTATCTAGCACATTACTCCCATTTAAATCATCTATGTTGAATATACTAATGAATATACTATGATGAATACTTCTTTTGTAGAATCCGCCATATTTACTACAATTGTATGAAAATCTACAAGAAAAAATCAGGTTATAGTGAATCTGTCAACGACAGACATTGCACGAAATTGGGAAGCCCTCCAGCGATGGAAAACTGCAATACTATTTGCAATTCTACGAGATGGCACTACTCGCAGTGGTCAGAAGTAAGTACTAATTTAGTATACTTAAAGTATCTGCTAAATTACCTGCTCATCCATCCTATTTTTAATGTACAAAACAAATTATCTGGATTTAATTAAATGGGCACAATTACGTTATTTTTATTTGCTGAGCGATTAGAAACAATTAACGGTATATGCTGCATACAGACAGATCAAATATCCCGCCGTTTAACACGCGCAACATCTACTAATATACGATTTACTAAATATACATAAGTTGCAACAAGTTTCCAACTTACTTTCCAACACAGTATATCTTCTTGTCTCCCATCAACATGTAATAGAGTAGACCCCTGAGACTATTTATAAATTATAAGTACTGTACAAATTGCTTTGGTACATCTTTTATTACTAATCAACGATCGAGAGTAGTTCTTCACATGTATTATTAATTCGATCAGGTGATTAACCCAATTGATTCCCATAGTAAAAAATTAAGTAAGCTACTGTCGCTCAGTGGATGGAATGTTACGAACAGTTTGAAGAACGAAAGTAGACTGCCGAGAAATAGAATTTTTTTTTAATTTCTCGGTTTTGGCCCTAAGATGACAAAAGACCGGCCATAGCCTAGATAATGGTTTTTTGAGGTAGGCTAATATTCAGAGTTTAGCCTTCCGTCGAACGCGGTCTTCAAACCAAAACAAATGAGCGCGGTGTATCAAATTGATTACGCGGCTGTTTACGCCTCTTATTGTAAATAACAACTTATTAAAAATATACTCGAATACAAATCATTAACGCAAAAGGTAACTAACTAACTTTTTCTAAAATCTGACGATAAAATTCTGTATTATACCCATTCCTCATTTATGTCATCTTGTGGTATTTCTGTAAATATGTGACAGCAGTATTGCAAAAACTGTCTATGTCAATCATACAAATGGGTTTTTTACAGTTTCTGCAGTTATACTGAGTCAAACGTCTTTGTCCATAGCATGTATGACATCTCTTGCGTTTTTCGACAAGTTTATTTTCTATTTTCTGTTCTCCTTGTTCTAATGGAATATACTGGTAAAGCAGTCATCGGCAGTAACATTTTGTCCTATCTGATAAATAGATTCGCAAAGTCGCATAACAACATCCGACGGTGAATTGCTCAATCGAAATGGGCCTCCAGATTGTAATCCTACATATAATTCCAAACTATATAGATAGTAAGGCTGGGAATCCACAAGTGCCTTGATTTTCAGTAAATTGTTCACTAATATTGTAGAAATGTCACGAATTGCTGCAATTTTGTAGTTTTTTTTTTATTTCTGGTAGTGCGATCATAAAATCGCATACAATGCATAATGAACTTGAATCTTTTGATAGTCATGACCAGTCGGAATTTTTCAATACCATCCACGTCAAATCTCCACTCTATCTGTTACTTCTGTAAACAACAGCAAAGTATGAAACCTATAGATGCTTTCAGTTCAACAATGTCTATAGGCTTGGCATCCCTATTGGGTTTGAGGAGCGATTTAACACTTTCAATATATTGGTTTGTCTAATTACTATTAAACTGGGAATAAGCCACAATTAAAGATAAAAATAAATTAAAAACATATTAATAAAAATTATTAAAATAAAATTAAAAATAAATATTTATGGAAGATTTTGAAACAAATATCATTTCTAAACAAAATTTCAAACCCACAGTATGGTGGAGGTATGTAGATGACGTATTCTCAATATGGCCTCATGGATCAGAGTTGTTGGACACATTCCTAAATGATATGAACGATAAAAAGGAGACAATAACATTTACCATGGAAAAGGAATATAATAACACGCTACCTTTCCTGGATGTTTTAATCTCTAAGAACGATACTGGATATGAGACTCAGGTGTATAGAAAACCAACACACACCAATAGATATTTAAATTTCAAATCAAATCACAATATTAATGTAAAAAAGGGAATAATTAAATCCTTATACGATAGAGCCAAAATTACTTGTTCTAACGAAAATTCGTTCTTGGAGGAGAAACATTTGTTAACATCTGTTTTATTAAAAAATGATTATCCTTTATCGTTTATAAATAAGGAATTTTCAACAATCGATCGAATAGAACAGAACAACTTAAAACGAGATCCTACAGCATACACAAGGAATAATTTGAGGAAAATAACAATACCGTACATAAAAGGATTATCAGAAAAACTTAAAAGGATAGGAAATAAATTCAACATTCAAAACAACAAACACGTTGAGATCTATTTTGTCCAAAGCCAAACCTAACAATGAACAAGAAAGGACAAAGAAGTGCATTTATAAAATACCTTGTAAATGCGATCAGTTTTATTTAGGTGAATCATCAAGGCCATTAAATATTAGAATAAGTGAACATCAATCTTATATTAAAAATAGAGAATTTGATAGATCTCAAATCTGTAAACACGCATGGGATAATGAACATAGGGTTCAATGGAATAATTCAAATGTAGTCCTAAAAGAAACGGATGGTAAAAAAAGAAAAATCAAAGAAGCGGCTCTAATTATGCTAAATGAGGCCAATTGTGTCGCAAATTCCTCGGCAAAATGTAGTAGGATCTGGTTACCAATATTGAAAGAGGAAGTTATTAATAAGAAAATACCAGTAATACTGGTACTACAGTAACATATAGAGGATACATCATTTATGTTTTTTAAATGACGTAACATATAAAATCAGAATTTTGATGTTTGTTGAAGGTAAACTAAATTCACGAACAAATACTTACAATGTCCGGATAGTATTATGAGGTTTTTTTCCTGGTTTTCCCTCATAATTTACTATGGAATCACTAACAGGAGAATTTTACTGTCATCATGTCATGTGTTTGTCTTTTTAAAGACGAATTACATGCTATGATTTTTTCTGACGGATATTCTCAAGTTAAAGTTGATTTCATGTAATCGAATGAACTATCTTATAAGTAAAGTCGTCCCATGAGCGCAACTCAACAATATTGGCAATATCATTTTAAAGTCGTCTACTTTAAAATGAATAATGTATGTCTGAATTGTCAATATAAATGAGTCAGATAAAATTAAATTATTAGAAGAATTTTTCACTATGTAACAAAAAAACAAAATTTGTTTAATTTACTGTTTGTATTTTGAGAACGATTTCCGAAGTGGAAATTGAAACGTCAATAAACGTATTTTTATCTTTAATTGTGGCTTATTCCCAGTTTATTAGTAATTAATTTACAATGCCACACGAAAATAGCTTCAGAGCAATATTGGTTTGTCTGTTGTACAATTATACGCAATAGTTCGTCATCCATAATGCAATTAAAGCATTCCAAAAAAGTTTTTGCCATTCTTGCAGCCATATCTTAATTATTGATGACTTCTCTGTTTGCAATTATACCTTCTGTTCTATCTTTTTCAGCTTCTGCGAAAACATTGTCTGCATATAAATTAAATAAGAGTGGAGAGGGCACACAGCCGTGTACATCTCATATCATAAAAGGTATTTCTGCGGATACCTGACCTTTAATTCTAATGTTAGCTGTTTGATTACAGTAAAAAACCGCTATCAGGTCAAATCAGACGGGAGAAATTTAAATGATAATTAATGTTTAACGAGATGAACTTATATGAAAAAAAGCAAACAAGCACTTGTCCATGCTGTACAAAGTTTAGAATAAAAAATCTTAATTATAGATAAATAAAATAAATTATGTATTGCTTATTCTCTGTGGGGGTTACTTACCTTTAACAGAGGTTCTCAGTAATCCTTGCTGGATATCCTTAGATTATAAATTGATAACTACTGCATGGGGTTCTTTTTATGTGGTACTTACTATGTTGGTGCCTGTTGAATTTCATGACTTGTTATTGTGATTTGCTCTGTTTTTCACGTTGAATAAAAGTTATGGCAAAATCCAAGTATAAAGGGTTATGACCTAGAATTATAATGAAAAATAAAAATATTTTCATGAAGAAGCAAGCAGATATTGGGGCGGTAGAGTGTGGTAAAATAGCTTTGTAAGCCACTGTATTAATGGCGACCTAAGTGGAAGGTAGAGAGAATACGTTTTGATAAGAGGCGAAAAACTGAGTTAGACTAACTTCTAGGAGAGATTAGGGTCTTCCACGCGCTACCAGAAACGGGGTAGGGTCTCAAAAAAGAGTAGCCAGTTTTTGGGACCAAAAAAAGTGGAAATAGGGAATAGTCCTCCTTGCTGACAGTCTGTGGAAAAATGAAGGTAGTGCTTCGTAAGTGATGATGCTACAGCGATCATTCAGTTTCCGACGCGTTGGATGACAGAGGAGGGTCTGTTTTAGCAGGTAGGCGTTCGACATAGTCTCGGCATCGAGGGCGCGTTTTAAAGTATCTCGGAAACTATCGGCCACACTACGAAGAACCAAATCCTGCGCTAAGGTCAGTCAGGCGGTGTCCTGGACTGATATGTCTTTTGAAGATTTCAGACTCCCTAACTATAAAAACGAAAAAAGTCTTCTTAAACAGTCCAATCGTCTTCGTTTGGGATGTCTTCTGCTACTTTGCATTTGTCAATTTTTCTTCTTGTCTGTCATCTGGAACTTATTAGTCGTCTGTCTTCTTCTTTCTTGTCTGTCGTTTTCTTTTATACACTTTTAAACTACTACACCGTTACAAAGAAGATAAACATTTGAGCATGTTTAAACGAAAAATGAGCCAGAAGTTTGGCAGGTACTGTAATGGGTATAACAAGAAGAGTTGTTGCGAAATTTTAAAATCACTCCTTTCTTCTTAATATTTAGGGAAGTTGCTTGCGTGTAGAAAAATAAAACACTTTTGGCACATCAATAGTTTTTACTTTGTCGACATAAATATTTTTGATCTATCTTAACATCCTTAAATATAATCAGCATTAAATAGACATTTTGGTGTTTCTTAAATCAGTCTGTTAGTTGTTGTTGTACCCCTTACTAGTAGATATATGGTTCGGTTAACAGATTATTTAAAAAGATTGGCACTATCCGACTTGGAGTTGCATAAGTTTAGCGTGGAAGAATGATCAGTCAATATATAAACAACTTCTATCTAAAAGGTACAGATTAAGTGAAGCCGAGTCCGCCGTTTGCATCGAAAAAGTCAGCGTTGTCAAGTCATCGCAATCAGAGAATTGTGCGCCGTTGTTAAAACTATCGTATTTTAACGTACGGATTATTGTACTTCCTTTTATTCTATTAAATAAAAAATTAACAAAGTAGCAAAATATATTATATTTAATTTTTATAAACGCATCAAACTAGGACAAATAAATAAGACAAGTAAACAAACAAATTAATATATAAACCTTCTATTCTCAATGCAAATGGCGGCAAAGGCTTCAAAAAATTTCGATTAGTTTAATATTTATGTTTTTACACTTTTTGACGTGTAGCTATGACAGAATAACGTCTGCCAAAATAGAAATTGATTTTCAGCTAAAAAATTGCCAATTTTGTAAACATCAATTTCTTGCGGTTTTCAATACATCCTTACTGATTTTTATTTATACTTCATCTAATTTAGATAACGACTTACGTCATTATCTACGTCAGAGATCGAAGTTGACATAGTTGCCAAAGTATAAAAAAATCATGACTCCATTTTAAATCAAATAGGTCACATAATTATTGCAAAAGTATTACCATCTCTTTACAATGACTATTTAAATTCTTACGTGACATTTTTAAAATAAAACACACTAATATTGTTATAAAAAGAACAGATTTTATTAAATAGGTAAAAATATAAAACAAGAGGTATTCACTTTAAAATTTAAAATAATAAAGTACAAAAAGTGTCAACACCGCAACTGTCAAATAAGTGTTACCAATTTATGCCAAAATTTTACCTTCGTTCGATTACAGTTACAGTGTGTTCCGAACAAATGTTCTTGATAAAAACTCTTTATAATGGATTTATACAAATTAAATGAAACATATTATTGTGTGTATTTCTTGTTAACATTAATAGAAATTTTTAAATATTATTTCAACGCGTATATAATAAAATATGTCTAGTGGCTGTAATGCCAGTGTACTCGGTAAAGTGATTCTAAAAAGAACACACCTAAACCCCAAATATTTCGTGTTGGTATCATATGACGTCACAGGCTATGACGCCGATGACGAGCATCGTTATATAAATAAGATGTAGTGTATGTAAAAATGACTAAAATCAAATTTTTGTCCATTTGAGGAATTTTTATTTTGACAGATGATGTAAGTTACGTGATTATTGGTAAGAGGCGTTCACAAATTTTAATTTTATACAGATCGATTTTTTTCCTACGCTAAACCTACGCACCGTTTACTTATTAATTAGGCTATATATTTGTAAATATTTCAGTACCATTTATCGTATTCATTTTATTGTGTCATTGCTTTTGTTCGATGTATGTTTTAACGCAGATACTACCAATTTTCAAAAAATTTATCTGTATATTCGATATTGGATTTAACTGTCTAGGACTTTTCTTTCAGAAAAATAGTTTCTTGGTCGGTTTCTTATGTATATCATAATCTTATTAAAGTAGTTTCACTAGTTTAAATATTGGTGTTATCGAGACCTACACTAAACATGAAAAATATTGTAGTGACAGATAGGTATGAAGGAAATTTGAGGCAAAGGAATTATCTTTACACTTTATCAATATCTGTTTTTATATGAAAAAGATGGATTCTTAATTTGGCAATTTGAATTCGGATTCAAATTGTTTCACTTCTAAGTCTATCTTTCACTACAACGAAAAAATTCTTAACTTCAATATATCACATCAAAGAGTCATTTCTAAAAACGCCGTAAGGAACACAATACCAATGAGTTGATCAGGTTACTGTACGTCATTACATTAAACTTAGGCGTTCACGATAGTATGACATTAATGTGCATATGGCGCTTATAATGAACTGATTTGTATCGAACATATTTTAAACAATTATACCGATTGATTTGCTGTTTTTTACTTTTTCTTCATTCTTCTCTCTCTGTAATTGTCCTTTCTAAATTTCTAATTTTCATACTCGTTAGGTCTTCTTCCACTTGTTGTCTCCATCTCAGTTTAGGTCTGTCTCTGGTTCTTTTACCTGGTGGTGTCCATTTCTTTATAACTCTTACCGGATTACTCTTCTCTCTTCTCATTATCTGTCTATACCATCTAATTCTTTGTGCTTTTATTGCTCAAACTATATTCTTTTGGCCCATCCATTCTTGTATTTCGTGATTCATCCATTGTCTTGCATTCTCTTCGTTTTCCCTCTTTGGTCCCAGTATTTCTTTGATAATCTTCCTCTCAAAAACTTTCAATTGCTATTCTTCTCTTGATTTTATTTTCATTTACCGTGTTTTTATACAAATATTTGGATTAAAAAAAAAAACGACGCAGAGTTCAATCTATATACATTACGGGGGCTTCCGTAGAATTTGTTGTAGAAGTGATTTAGAAGTATTTCGTTTAGCCCAGGCCCACAACGAAAATCTTTACGACTAAACAATCATTTTAGGTGCTCTTTCAAATGACGAGGATTTAGAGGCTTCTATGGATTAAGAAGAAAACTTTATCTTCTGTATATGCAGCAAAAACTCAGCGCCATGCTGATGGTAATGTAACGATTAAGAGTAGGTAAAGCAATTGAGATTTGTGACAAATTAATTTCGTGGCTAATAGAAACCATGTCCTGACTAGTAGTCTAGGGTGTTCTTTAGTGTTTTCAATAATTTTAACAGACAAATAACACTATTATTGTCCAGTAACCTGATCTTTTACAATAAACAATTAATGAACATATGTAACCACCTATCACATCCAATTTTGATCCACGTATTCTTTAAACATATATAATATTCGTCTTCCGACACCTTTTTCTGTTACAGTGCAGCAAAACTTGTGGCGGCGGCTTGCAGAAGAGAACGGCGAAATGTGTCGATGACAGATACACACCTATAGATGATTCTTATTGCAACAATAGCGAGAAGATTATAGAACAGATATGTAATACTGAAAACTGTCCCGTTTGGACTTTGGCCGACAAATCACCTGTAAGTAAAAAAAATATATTTATAAAGTTTCTTGGTAGTTACAGTATTATTCTTACAGATCCACAATATCATTTTTTACTTGATTTTATTATAAATAAAATTTGTGAAAATAAGTATTCACTTGAGCAAAATACTGCGATCATTTTCTACCGTATTGTCTTGTTCAAAAGTAGATAAAGGTATGTAGGGACTTTTGCAGATTTCGTAAGCATTTTCTAAGAAAATTATACAAACAAGCTGGCTTCAAAACAGCTTATGGTATTTCCGGGCAAAATAAAATTGTATGTTTTGTGATGTAAAAATTGCTGATAAAATGCCGAACACACTACTTAAGAGACAACACTATAATAGACACAGACACCCGATTGCATCCGCAGGAAATGCTTCAAACAACTTCCAGATCCCGCTGTTACGCAAAATTATCAATGTAAGTCTTTGTCAGGAATATTTTCCAATCTCCTGGAAAATAGCCATTACACTTATGATCCCTAAGCCAGGGAAACTCCTCACCAGTATTGAATCCTTCAGACCTATTTCTCTATTAAGTGATTTACGCAAGATCTACAAGAGAATCCTTAAGAAAAGACTCGTAGAACACATAGAGGAATTCCACATCATCTCCAACTTCCAATTTGGATTCAGAGCTGGTCACTCCGCATATGCTGCATTGATAGAAGCAGCAACCTTCGTATCTTAGACATTGAATGAATACCTAGACACACAATCAGCATATTTTTAGATGTCCAGGAAGCATTTTATTAGGTCTGGAACTCAGGCCTGATTAAAAAACTCCACCAAGCTTTGGTACCATTTCCGTTCGTGGAAATAATAGGCCATACTTCTCTGCTCGAACTATCCGTGCCAAAGACGCTGACAAATTATCTACTTCCTTCACTTCTCAAGCGGGAGTTTTTATAAAAATTTCATTTATTCATCCCCAATTCACAACATTGGAAACTCACAAAATGTTGTGAAAAGTGTTGTTTTGTTTGTTAGATGATTGTTAGATTTTAATGACAACATTTTTGACATATTTTGTAGTTTAAATATAATTTCGTTGTTAAAAGGAATATTTGTTTTTTGCATATTATCTTTGGGTAATTCATAATAAATATTTGCAATTGCAATGTGCAATAACATGTATAATAAAGATATCAAGTAAATAAAATCATTTTTATTTTGTACCCAAAATATAAAACATGTAAGTAGGTACACATAAAGTGTATCAGAACCATATTTTAATGTATACCCACAAGATAAATATGGAGAAATGCTTTTTACGTCGATACTCAATATTTTCATCAAGTGGATACCTATCTTAATGATGAAAGTAGATTACAATGTTAGATGTAATATTACAATGTATCCTGCTTCCAGTGTTCAGCACCTTGCGGTGGTGGCTACAAAAACTTGACGTACTACTGCGTCTTGGACGGTAGGATTCACGACAATCACGACTGTGATTTAAGTATGAGACCACCTGATACAGAAAGATGTAACGAACAGGCATGTGGCCGTTGGGCTCCTCTTAACGACTATCATTCCTGTTCTGTGACGTGCGGAGAGGGAATCGAAAGGAGACAGTTCGTCTGTATGAAGTTCGACTCCACCGAGCGCTTGAACGAAGACTACTGCAGGGAGTTGGTGATTCCCACGGAGACCAGGCCGTGTTATCGGCCCAAGTGTGAGGTAAGGTTTTACGTTTTATAAATCGTAATTATATACGAAATGTTAAGCAAATATATCAAAATACTTAACTTCCATTCTAGTTTTACAAGAGAGGCCATAAATACTACAATTGTTTTTGGTTTAAAAGCTTCTCATTTAATCAAAAACTAGTATAGTATTTATAAAGTCAGTTGAAACATTTCTCTCCGACTCGATTTATAAGGGCAGTTCAGTATTACATTTACCGGTAATCAAGTTAAAGTATAAATAACACGCGTCAATGTTTCAAACGTATTTGAACAATCCCCGTACTTCGTAGGAAATAGATGGAAGAAAGATACATCCCATCAAATAAATATTGGACATTAATATGTTATTCAAAATCACCAATATTTAACACGCTACTTGGAGGTCCCCTTCTAGCCGGTGGCGAAGGATGCAGATAAGAAACGCTGCCGATGCATGCCAGTGCTGTACAGCAAAAATGTTTATTATGTTACGAAGTATAATTAAATCATTATACTGTTAATATAGCCTATTGCCATTTAATTATAAATTATTTTTGTTGCTTAATATGACATGTTAAAAATTTTTTTATACACTTATGTACTTTACGACAGCTTTAAATAAATTAAAATTGTCCTTTTTCTGTTCTACATTAATTATATATTTGATTATAAAAATAAATGATGCGCCCATGTCAGGTAATATGATATTATTCTTTTATTTTTTGTCGGCAAGCAGGTTTTTGGGTGTTTCAACTGACTTTATAAATACTATAATAACATACTAAGCTTCACCTATAGAAAATTAACAAGAAGTATTCAGCGGTGAGTCGTACAGAGAATGTAAATCACATGCCGGATCATTCTACAGTGTTGCGCGATTTCGTACTTTAACCTGCTGTGCCAGAGTCGACTTGAGAGTCAAGGAATGCCATTAAAATGATAATAGACAAATAAAACAAGCAAAGCATTCTCAGAGTTATAAATTGGTCAATTAAAAACCCATCAAAGCAATCATTCAATTTTTGTCCTGTATATAATGGATAAGCATCCATAGCTGTAGAGAATATTCTACTCGTTTAATTGTATGCTCTCTCCAGAGTTTCTACAGTTGATTTTTTGCTTGTATTATTTATTAGAGTTGTGTAGAAATTGCTATAGTTTTTTTACTGGTAATGTGTCACGCCTTTGTTAGCGCAATAAGTAAGAGATCTTGGTTCCTTAATATTTTTGTTTAGTTGACAGTACGGTAAGGGTTAAATTATATATACACCCTATAAATGGCAACACTGTGCGCCGTCGACTTTCCATTATAGTGGTTGTTTAAAGCGAAAACAGCCTAGATTTTTAATTTATTTTTGTAAACAACATGTCTGTTTATACTTCCGCAGAAAAGGTTCAAATAATACAATAGTTTTATATGGTGGTAATTTTGGACAAAAGTGTGCAGATTATTTTCTGTGTTTTTTGAGGGGAGACCGATTCCTTGCGTACAGTCAATTCATAATATTGTTATAATTTTTGAGAGTTGTTATTTATTGTTTCAAAAATTGCAGAGGTGCTCAAGAAGTGTTACCAGAAAAATTTGAGGAAAGAGAATACCCAGATACACAAATTTGTGCAACAATCGAGGTAGATTCAACACGTTCAAGTAGAAGCGTTGCTAGAGAGTTAGATGGTAGCAATGTTACTGTAATGAAAGTATGGAAAACACAAAAATTTTAAATATTCGAAAACGCAACAGATTTATCCAGACGACTATTTTCGAAGAATGGAGTTTTGTGAAACTCTAATATCGAAGGCTAATGAAGAACCAAACATTTTATTCACTGATGAATCTTCTGTTTCGTTAGTAGGAAGACACAATTCTTCCATTACGAGGTATTGGGCGTGGAAAAACCAACACAGAAGTGCTGTTTACCGAACTCAACGTCCTCAACGTCTGGATTGGCATTTTAGGAGATCATATAATAGGTCCATTTTTTACTGAGGGCAACTTGAATAGTAGATACACCTCGATGTGTTACAGAATCATATTTTTACCACTAATCTCAATCTTCCTGATGTAAACCTGGTTATTAAGCTATATAAATTATGGCTTTCCCGCTATTCTCAATCTTCCTGATGTAAATCTGGTTATTAAGCTATATAAGTTATGGTTATATTTACCATATCTAGGTAAATCCGTCCTGATTAGTGAAACTTTAGCTTCTTTTTTTGGGGACATTTAAAAAGCATCATCTACGACCATCCTGAGGCTAGAGCCCAAAATGTGGATCAATTAAAAGATAGAATAAGAAAAGTCTCAAATTCTGTTACAGCAGAAACTCTTTCATCTGTCCGCAGAAGTTTTTATGATAGATTGGCATACTGTTCAGCCGTAGAAGGTCAAATATTTTAATCATTTCTGTAGGGCATAAAGGATTATTTCTTATTTTATTAGGAAATTTTTTTTATTTTCAATAAGAGTATATTTTTTGTTTTATCTTTTTAAAGAAATGCGCTTTTATTTTTAATTCAACCACAAATGGTTTTCTGTCTAGGTGTCAGAGAATTAGTGTAGTGTGCAATATCTAATCCAAAACTTAACGTACTGTTGTAAAAATTTTCTTGTAGTGCCTATCCGTTTCGGATGTTGGCGACCATCATAGTAATCTGTACATAATGCACACTACCGCTCTGAAAAGATTTGTGGTTGTTGTGTTGAAACATGTACGTAGATTTTTCAGCCAGGGAATTTTCAGAAAGTTTTCCTTCTATTTTTCCTTGAAAATTATATGCAGCAATCCATATATTTAGCTGTTCTCCCTGATGTGACCGATGTATTCGATCTTGGCTGTTTTTATTGGGGTTATTGCTTTTATTGTACTAAAAATATGTATAGAATATTTTCCCTATATTATTGGAGTTCCTTTAAATAGTATGTTATGTGTTTATCCAAATAGGTTGTATTTTGGTTTGATTTGACTCATTTGTCTGTTAAGCTCTTATTAACTTATCTTTGTTTTTTATTTAATAAGTTTTACTTTTTGTTCTACTGTACCTTTATTATTTTTATTATGTATATTGAAGGAGATAAATATCTTGATGCTAGTAAGTAATCGTCGAATTCTGAACATCTATATACTCTGTTATCTTGAAGCACTCATTTCTTGTTTTACAATGAGGTAATCGATAATAGATTTTAGCTTCTTCTAATCTTAATACCAGTTGTACTTATTTGTTTAAGGGCGATATCCCCATCTAAAGAGAAATGTATTCCATCATTGTGTGCTTCCTGTTTTCATATATGGAGTCGAAACTTACATCCTCCTTTTAGCGACGTTACCATCGGCTCAGGATCGAGGTGGATGGAGAAGATTAGGGTATGCCTTTTCCAACATTGTACACAAATGACTTAATGCTTGTACTGTTATTAAGCTTTTAAGTCGTGACAAATGATAAGGTGTTTGCTAAGCATGTGGAATATTTAGCTACTTCAGAACCACCATATTCCTAAAGTGACTGTCCAGAAAGTCCAAGATGATTGTTTTTTTATAAGATAACTTTGTTAGAATTTTAGTGCTACGATATATTTGCTTAACTGGTGATATATAGACGATTTATATCTGGATTTTTTGCTTTTTTAAACACTGCAACTTTTTCAGATCATCTCGCTCTACAAACGGAGAAACTCGGTCACTAACGCCATCATTCCAGAACCTTTCCACATGTATAATACTTACAAATGGGTTCCAGACAATTGGTCACCGGTAAGTGAAAATCGTAAATCTTCTTCTAATGAAGAGGTGATAGATACTGTGGCTGCCTGGCATGCAGAGCAAGTTAAAATTCAGTGCAGCTTCGTAAAAAAATAATGCTTACTATTCTGTCATTGTTTATAATTAACTGATCTAAGGCTCATATAAAAAGTAAACTCTGACCTTACGTTAACAGATTATTCATTTTTTGTGTTTAGTGTTCGGAAACGTGCGGCGAAAGTGGAAGAAGAAAACAACAGTTCAGATGCTTAAACGATGCAGGACACGAAAATTACCATATGTGTGAACGAAGTTTGAAGCCTAATATATTTGCAGCTTGCAACCAGTTTGCTTGTCCTCGATGGGTCACGGGAGATTGGAGTCCCAACTGTGATGCCAACTGCGAAAGGTATAGAGCTGTCAGATGTACTGATCACTCAGGTTAGTGTATTATAATGGGGTCTTTGATTAAGCGCTTTCTATTTTTAAATTTAAATAAAACAAAGTATGTGGTGTGTGTGAAATCAAATTTTTTAATCGTTTGAAAGGCCTCCCGATTCCATTATATAGGTACAGAAAAAATTGTATAATTAGTATTACAAAATTAGCGAGATATACTGAGGTACTAATATTATGTTTCCACTTGGTAGACAGAAATCGAAATCATATTTTCCCCTAGTTTCCCCTGTACATTCTGCATCAACGCCCACAATGAAGCGTTATACCGACCAATAAACTCGACTCTTTTCTCATGAACAGTGTTGCCAACCTTAGGAACACAAAAAGCATCAAATGGAACTTAAAAAAAAACAGAAGAACACAGGAACATAGTAATTTCAAAACATCAAATATTTCCGTCATAACATTTATGAAATTTATAAATAGGTATAGAACTACTGTTAGATTTACCGCTAATTGCCTTGATTTAAAGAATTTCTAGGAATTGTAAAGTAGATAAAGTCAAAATGAAAAGATTTATTACTACAATGGAAAAATTACTCATTGACATTTTCAATATTGCGGTCAGTATAATGTAAAAATTACTCAGTAACAAAATTTTTATTAAAAAAACTTTATAAAAGGTATATATTTAAAACCCTAACGGGCTAATTATACAAAACGATTTCGGAATCCATATTCCATCATCAGTGTCTAAGATGATGGAATATGGATTCCGAAAACGTTTTGTATAATTAGCCCGTTGGGGTTTTTAAATATATACCTTTTATAAAGGTTTTTTAAAAAAAAAAAAATTTAATTTACAGGAACGTAGATTTCTTGTGTATTCAGTAACAATATCTAGCGGTCTAAAATCTTCTTCTTTTTATATAGTCTCTCTGTTTTTCAATGTGCCTCCAGTAAGTTGTCGTTTTTTCGTGGTCTTCCTACTGATCGACTTCCTATTGGGGAACCGTCTATTGCCGTCTTTACTACTCTATTAGTTGTAATTCGGCTTATATGATCGTTCCATTCTACTCTTCTATTTCTTACCCAGTTCTTGATGTTTTCCACCTTGCTTCTACGTCGTATATCTGTACTTCTAGATCTGTCCCATAGTGTCTTACCATCAATTTTTCTCAAGTGTTTTCATCTCTGCTGTTTCTAACATCCTTTTTAAAAATCTAAGTCTAAAATCGTACCATACTTTTATTAGATTTTTTCATATGCACCTCAGTTGCATTAAACGCAAAACATTTCTTTACTTCTGCCTTCGCGTGCTAAGTGCCTTCAATGGTCGTCGGTGGACATTTTATTTCTTAACTTTCGGGTCATTATTTATGGCTAAAAAAAAACTTTTTAACGGCAGCGTTTCTGTGGGGCAGACATAACATTGTTTTTGCTATGGAAAGAAATAGCATAATATTGGAAATGTTTGTGAACTATCCCCATTCTATATTTAAAAAACCTGTTTTCAAAATTGGTGAATTTCTGGGATTTCGTTGTTACATAGCTAACCCGTATGAGCCATTATGTATCGCGTTCAGTCACATTACTTGGAGAAGCAAACAAATCTTCGGCAAAAATTAAAGCATGTCAGCAATGAAAGAGATATTCTTTTTCATTTTGGGGTCAACAATTCCTCCATAGTTTAGAGTCCTCAGACACTTTAGTGCTTAGCGAGATCTGTTGTTAGAAGGAAATTTTTGGTTTCATTTATTTTGCCGTCTCTATATAAAACTGTACACTTTGCATAGATATTTTTTACCTTTTATTCATCCAGGTTTCCTGTCTCACGTTTAATTCTGATCGGGTTTAGTACACTTTCCGTCATATAAAACTGGTACACTTTTTTTTCCCAATGTAAACCTGTGTTCAGAAATCAATTCGTTGTTGCCATTACAGATAACGGAAATGCACTAAATCTAAATAAAAAAATAATGTTCAAAATGTATAAAATTTTTAGATAGGTATTATTTTTATCATTAACAACAAAAAACCGTATCTAAGAAATTAAACAAGCAGAGATAGGGTTGAGTTATTATCCAAAATATTTGAAGGATCTTTAAACTAAGGGTATTGGCCCAGGGAACATTGGAATGCATCTACTGTAATTTTATACTTCAATTACCTACCGAACTCGAACTGCATTCTGTGTCAATTAGTTTTGTAACAGGCAAACTACCAAGATTAATTTATTATTTATTACAAGAACGATAAAAAATGTGAAAAACTAACATTATACTTTATCCTACGTATTATAAACTATAAAATATTCGGGACGAAAAAACGCTTTTCAAAACGTAACAGTTACAATCCAATATCTCACTGTAATGTTTTATTATAATAATTTGAAGTTTGTCTAGATTGATTATCTGTCACTATTTTTGAATTGAAATATTTTCATAAATTGTTATAAAACACAAATCAATGTATGGATACTTAATTGAGATGATGGAAAATTACGTATGAGAATTTTTTAGGATGCATGTTTAAACAAATTTAATGTGACTGACTAATCAAGAATGCTCGATAATGTTTTAGTTTTTAGTATACTTAAAACTAGCGGTCTGTCACAGTTCTGCTTTTAGCTGGTTTTATATAATATTATATATGCCCTAGAAATTAGAATGACACATGTGACAATATCAACGTACACAACTTAAAAAACACGATTTTTGATTATAAGAGTTGTACCAGTTTTTTATGACGCGAACGGCACCATTTCCCCAACGTACTTTCTATTTCCTATTAAGCAACAGTTTTAAATATGCTGCTAAGTTATTTGGACAACAATCGCTCAAACACACACTACTAAAGCTATTTTTTGTTTTTTTTATGCAGGGCATCCAGAAACTCTCCTGACAAATAAAGACAGGAGATTCCTTATATAATTTTAAGATAATTTAACCCAATTCACCTAATTCAGTTGCTTGGCCAGCAAGGTCGCTGGATTTTAATCCTTGCGATTATTGTGTTTGGAGATACATAAAAGCATTTGTTTATTCCGTTCCAATGCAAAGTCGTGCACAAGTTTGGCTAAGGATACAAGATACATGCAACAAATTTAGAAATAACTTCAATACTTGCAAGAACTCGGCGTTCTCTGAGCAAAAGGGCAAATTTATGCATAGAGACTAATGTTCTTTTATGTTAGGTTCATTTCATCGTAATAAATACTGGGTTTTTAAAAACGTTTAAATTTTTTTTTAAATTTATTTAAATATTTAAAATAAAAGTACCTTTTAGTGCAAGAATATCTGAAAATTTAATATTCTATTATCACGAATGCTTAAAAGTTATGGGTTAAAGTATCCGTTGACCTACCCAAAACCGACGCCTATGACCGGTACTAGAAATTCATAATAGATAAAGGCGCCATTTTCAAAGAGCTCTAGCTCCTTTAGAAAGCATTTTCGGACTAGCTGAATTGGTTTAAATTGTCTTAAAATTATCTGAGGAAGCTCTAGTATTCATTTGTGAGGAGTGTTTCTGAACACCCTGTATAGTAAGCCGATTTTTGCCTTTTATAATGCTTCAAAAAACAAATTGCCTTCAATTTGTTCAACATACAAAGTTTATTTATTAGGTAAGGCGGTAGAAGACTCCCACTGTGACTCCAGCAAAAAACCAGAACATCTAACCAAGTGCAGACTATCAGAATGTCCTTACATAACCAACTCAGTATCAAGACGGTACTTCGATTCTTCGGAAAAGGGTGAGAAACGGTATAGATGGAAAATAGGACCTTGGAAGCCAGTAAGTTTTTGTGTTACGAGTTTATATCACTGTATATTTTTCTAGGATTGAAACGGAACAGGTGATACATGATCAGTTACGTAACTTATATACATTTAATCGGTCTAAAAGTTGGTTTCAGTTTAAAGTTAGTTCTAAAAATTTAAACATTTCCCCCGTTTTCTTTAATATTTCAGATCTTTCCTCAAGTTATTGATTTTTGTCATATTTTTCCTTCTTTAAATGTTTCATACCAGTACATTCTCTACGTTTTTATTACTATAATAGTTTAGCTAACATGAATTTCCACCAAATCACAGTTGATTTAATCGATAGATTATTGGATACTGTACAGAAAATAGTAAGTAAACTGATCATATGTCATTTATTCTCCAACAATCCTCGATCACTCCTTATTTGTACATACCCTAAACCGCTTCGTCTACTAACCCCAACCGCTATACCACATAACCTAAAAACACGTTTTTTGTTTCTTTCACTTCACCAAAGTGCTCCAACAAGTGCGGTAAAGGTAACAGAAGGCGACACATCGAATGCGAAGACTCACTAAACGAGATCACCGTAGTCGATACGTTATGCAGACATTTGAAAAAGCCGAGAGCAACGAGACCATGCGAAAGATATAGCTGCAAATTCGCCTGGATTGAAGGGTATTGGTCGGCTGTAAGTGTTATTTTTCTATACCAAATTTTTTAATTGTTTCAAAGGGGACTTGGATTTCTGTCTTTTTATTTTTTTAGATGTTTAACGATTATTATAATTGAGTTTATCAGACTTACTATACATATAAAGGTAGGCAAGTTTTATATACAGACGTCAAACATTTATAGAAGAAATAACTTGATATACTGAAAGGAAAAATGTCATACTATTTAAACGAATTAATACATAAAAGGCATCTAATGTCCGAAAACTGTTCAGGTCACAATATTGAAAAAATCTTCTCCAATATGACAAAAATTATACTGAAATCTCCTGAGGTAATTCCGGGTGCAACCTGAGCCTCCGTTCAGATTTCCAGGTGACTATTTCGGAGAGACACCATTGCAGGTTAAAAAAATCAGGGTCTTGGAATACTGAAAGCCTTACAGGTAAGGATATGGAGTTGGTAGATACGATTAAAAGGAGAGTACAAATCGCTTACATTCAAGAGACGAGGTAGAAAACAAAGGGTGAAAGAACTAGGTTAAGGATACAAATTGTGATATGTAGGGAAAAGTGACACTAGAAATAGAGTTGGTATAATTGCTATAAAGAAATTAAAGATAACGTAGTGAAAGAACGAATGATAGAATAATGTCAGTGAAATTTGTACTTGGTAAAGAAGTATTAAATGTTATATGTGTAACCTCCTGCAATCGGTCTGACTGAGAATGAAAGAAAAGCTTTCTATAGTAAATTAGAAGACATTCTGAGTGACACTTCATCAAAGTGTGGGCGACTTCAAGTGAAGATATAAAGCAATACGTGGCAGACTAGACTGAAATTAGAAATGACGATAGTTAAGACATTCTTTCAAAACAGAGGTCAACTTATCACATATAAGGTGAGAATGTTTTGAGAGGACCTCAAAAAATCAAGCGGTGGATGTTATAAGATCCTAAAGAAGGTCTATTTAGATCAGAAATAGTAGAGCAAATACAGCGGGAATAAGGAAAGCAGTTCACGGTGAGTATTTTAAGACATGTATGAAACAACAACTATTTAGTGTTATGACAGGTGTGGAAGAGAAATATACATTTAAGAAAGAGTTACTAAAAATGATAACTTTGGATGGTGGAACTTATTGTAAAAAGTAATAGGTTTAAGTACCTAGAATCATCGGTATTAATTGAAAATATATGGAGATGCATACAGTAGCATTACTGTGGAATAAATAAAGTGGAAGGAAGAAGCGAGTGGTGTATTGTGTGATAGAAAGATTCAAATGAAATTAAAAGGATAATTGGATCAAACTGTCGTGTTAACAAGAAAGAGAAACAACGAATGCGTGTGGCGGAATTGAGAATGCTTAAATCGTTGAATGGAGTGACAAAAAAGGATAACATTAAGAATTAGTATATTAGGGAGAGTCTAGGAGTGGCATCAATTGATGCCAAAATGAGAGATCATAGGTTGAGATTACCTGAAGAAAAAGCAACTGGGAGGAAACGCTTAGGCAGGACATGTCAGTAAAGGGGAATGATATTAGTGATATGAAATTATATTTCATTGAAGAAATGTAATTACGACAGCCGAACCCCATAGGGATAAAGGTAAAGAGAATGATAATGATAGTTGTCCACATTCGCATGGAGTTATTTAAAAAATTTATAAGAAATAAAATTTCCTCAAATATTCAAACAATTGCAGATACAGTGCATAGTTTTGAGATGGCGTGATCTCTCTGAATTCAATTATAACTAATACTGTCATAAATATTGATACAAATGTAAACACAGCATGTACGGCTGACAAACTGAACGCAGCCAAACATTACTGACTGTTGACATGTGAACATAAATGCGCTAAAACATTTCAATCTAGTTTGAGCCGTTACGAAGGAGTGGACAGACAAAGAAAACCGTATTGTTGTCATTGTTCTGTATAAGTCCGGAGTTGAAAGAGCTCGTGTTTTTGAATTACAAAAACCGTTAATTATGCGTGTCTTCGTGTATCGTATCGTTAGGGTGTTTTTGAATACGACAAGAGTAAGGGGTAAGTGTGCTATGACGGCATCACATCTTTACATTAAAACGGAGGCGAGTAATTAACAATGGGACAATTTAACCAAGACCTAAAGCAATTCCAACCAGCACATTAAAGAGAACAGCAATTCCAACCCACAATAGGTAGGCATAGTCTCCATGAGCAATCAAATGACAATGGCAATAGGTTAATAAACCTAGCAAGATCAGTTAACATGGTGATTGCCACCACATACTTCGCTCTCAAAGATATACACAAAGGTACCTGGAAATCCCCCGATGAGCTTACAGTAAATATGATAGATCATGTCATTGTAGACTCGCGACACCAATCGAATATTCGTCCGCACCAGAAGAGGGTCAAATGCGGATTCTGATCACTATCTGGTCGAAAGCAGGGTAAAGGCTAGAATTTCAAACATCAAAAAGGAAAGAGGCTCTAAATATGAACGATATAAGGTAGAAGGACTCAAAGAAACAAACAAAAATAAAGAGTATAAAGAAAAAATAAACAACAAACTAGAAAACAAGAAAAGAAGAACAAGAACGAATGACTGGTTTGACGAAAAATGCCACATTATAACAGATAGAAAAAACAGAGCATATTTACTGATGCAACAGGGGCACAGAACCCGACAAGCAGAGGAAGAATATAAACAACTACGCAAAGAAAAAAGAAAACTCGCCGAAGAAAAAAGAGAGAATATATGGACAAAGAACTTCAAGAACTACAAGAACTAAGTAAATCAACAGAGACAAGAAAAATTTATCACAAACTGAACAAAAGCAGAAAAGACTTCAAACCGAGAACAACGATGTGTAGAGATAAGGAAGGTAATATATTGACAGAACAGTAAAAGATACTAAGGAGATGGACAGAACATTTTACGGAAAAGCTTGAAGGAGATCGGAGAGAGACAAACCCTGACATACCATTAGACCAAGCAGACAACAGAGAAAAGACTCCACCAACAATAGTCGAAATTAGAGCAGTAGTAGACACATTAGAGAACAATAAAGCACCGGGATCGGATCAAATAGCATCGGAGTTACTGAAGAAAGTAGGAGACGCACTACAAAAAACAATACATGAATTGATAACAAAGATATGATCGAATAAACAGCTACCAACGGAGTGGAGCGGTATTATTGTACCATTACATAAAAAAGGAAATCAGTTAGAATGTATAAACTATCGTGGAATCACGCTGCTGAATGCAGCATACAAAATAATATCCAACGTCATTTATGAAAGACTTAGACCATACGCTGAAAAAATAGTTGGCAAATACCAAAGTGGCTTCTGTAGACAGAAGTCAACAATAGACCACATATTTGTTCTGCGACAGATTCTCGAAAAAACAAGTGAATATAACATCGACACATCCCCTCTTCATATACTTTGAAAGCGCATATGACAATATAAACCGAGAATTCTTAATAAAAGCAATGAAAGAATTTAATATACTAACACAACTAATAGAACTGATAAAAGAATCTCTAAAAGTAGAAAGTAAAATCCGGATACAAAATGAATTAACGGAAACAATAGATGAGAAAAAGGGACTACGCCAGGGAGACGCTCTATCATGCATCTTGTTCAACATCGTACCCGAGAAAATACTGAGGGACACAACAGTCACTACTCGAGGAACAATTATTAATAAAAGCGTGCAAATACTAGCATTTGCAGATGATGTTCACATAATCGCAAGATCAAGAAGAGAAAAGATAGAGGCATACAACCAAATAGAACGAGCTGCACAAAATAGTGGTCTTAAATCAGACCAAAATAAAATATATACAGATAAGTAAAAACGCAGAAATAAGGCAGCCACAAAATATAACAATAGGAGAATACAACATTGAGGAGGTAAAAACTTTATATACTTGGGATCCCTAGTCACATCTGATAATAACGTTGCGAAGGAAGTGAAAAGGCGAATATTTATTGCCAATAAATGTTACCATGGCTTAATTAGGCAACTAAGATCAGATAACGTCACAAGAAAAACAAAATGCCAAATATATACAACCTTAATAAGACCGGTACTCACATACGGCTCAGAAACCTGGACACTCACTAAAAGAGAGGAAACGTTGTTAGCCACCTTCAAAAGAAAAATCTTGCGACACATATATAAGGGCACAAAAGAAAACGGTAACAGGCGATGAAGATACAACTTTGAACTATACAAAATATACCAGGTTCCGGATATTATAACATTCATTAAAATAGGACGGCTGCGTTGGATAGGACATTTGGAAAGAATGGAAGAAGGCGAAATACCAAACAAAATATTCAAAGAGATGCCAGTAGGAAAAAGAACAAGAGGAAGACCGAAGCTGAGACATTTAGAACAAATAGAAAATGATATAGCAACCTTAAAATAAAAAACTGGAGAAAAAAAGTACGAAACAGATCAGAATGGAGAAGAATCCTGGAACAGGCTTGAATCCATTTGACTACAAATTGTGGTAAGGTTTAGAAAACATGATATTTACAAGACGTCACCGTAATCTGAAGTTATTGAAGCAGAAACAGTTCTATCTATACAGCGATCGATGAATACCTTAACAGGCTTCGGTATTGTATTCAGGCAAAAGGTGGCTATTCTGAATAACTGTTTTGTAGTTTGTTGTTTATTATATCAGTAATAAAGTGTACAAAACTTTTTCCAATCAAACCAAGAGTGTAATTTTTTAGTTTAATACCTTGTATCAATATTTATGGCAGGACTAGGTATGTTTATATTTGACGTATAACTTAATTAGCTGGAGAATTTGCAGATTTCTTGTGCTGTTTCAGGTGCATATTCTATTTTTCTTTAATTTAATTATCAAAAAACTCTCGAATTGGTTCTGAAATATAATTTTCGCCACAAATGTGCCAAAACTAGCAGAAATGTAATCTATACTGATAATTGTACATAAAACATAATATACACTGATCAGTGTCCATAACTTCCTACCAAT